AATGACTCACTTGGATGGGCACACAGGACAGCTGTAAGACAGGGGAGACTGGTAAAGTGACAGGGGAAGCTGGGGACGAATAGTAAAAATCCTTAAATGTTGGGTTTTAGAGTAGCAACTTCGTTTTAGACTACTGGGAATCACTAAAAGCTTCTCAGAAGGCAGTGAGATGCATTATGAAGGTTCCTATGCTTGAAGGTAAAGTTAATTGTATTGAGATTACAGACGGCGGTAGGGAAAGAGACTCATTAAGAGTAATGAGGCATAAGAACAAGGCGAGGATGCTAATTAATGTCTAAAACAAAGTAAGCACTCAATAAGAGAGTCATCATTATCATCATCATGGTCACTGTGACCACTATGACCTTCATAATGAAAACAAACAGAAGGTTTTAAAAATATGGGAAAGCCCATATTCCAGCCAAGATGGAGGCATTGGTAAATAGCTTTGCTTCCTTGTACAACCGAAAGAAGGACGACAACAACAACAACAGAACTGCCAGAAAATCGAACTGTATGGAAGTCTGACAACCAAAGCATTAAAGAAACATTCATCCAGACCAATAGGAGGGGCAGACATGGGCAGCCAGGTCGGGGGGATGCGACAAGGCAGTGGCTGGAGGACTGGGGCAGTCCCATATTCACCTACTGATAAGCCAGGAAAAAAAACTGGGGAGTGAAACAGACCACAGAACCCAGGGTTTCGGTGTGGGAAACCAAAGCATCAGAACCTCTAACTGTAAAAATCTGTGGGGGTTATGGCAGCAGGAGAAACTCCTAGACTTGCAGGAGAGTTCATTAGAGAGACCCAAAGGGTCCTAGAATGTACAGAAACCCACCTGCCCAGGAATCAGCACCAGAAGGGCCCTATTTGCTTGTGGGTAGTGGGGGAAGTCACTGAAAGGAGAGTGAGAGCCCAGCAAGTGGCACTGTTCCCTCTTGGACCCCTCCCCCACATACAGCATCACAACGCAGCAATGTGATTGCCCAGCCCTGGTGAATACCTAAGGCTACACCCCTTACTACGTTACAGGTGTACTGAGACAAAGAAATATATGGCTCAAACAAAAGAACAGATCAAAACTCCAGAGAAAGAACTACACAATGAGGAGATAGCCAACCTATCAGATGCAGAGTTCAAAACACTGATAATCAGGATGCTCACAGAAATGATCGAGTATGGATGCAAAATAGAGGAAAAAGTGAAGGCTATACAAAGTGAAATAAAGAAAAATATACAAGGAACCAACAGTGAAGGGAAGGAAACTGGGATTCAAATCAACAATTTGGAACAAAAGGAAGAAATAAACATTCAACAGAATGAAGAAACAAAAATTCAAAAAAATGAGGAGAGGCACAGGAACCTCTGAGACAATTTTAAATGTTCCAACATCTGAATCATAGGGATGCCAGAAGGAGAAGAGGAAGAGTAAGAAATTGAAATTTTATTTGAAAAAATAATGAAGGAAAACTTGCCCAATCTGGTGAAGGAAACAGACTTCCAGGAATTCCAGAAAGCTCAGAGAGTCCCAAAGAAATTGGACCAAAGCAGAAACACACCAACACACATCATAATTACATTACCCAAGATTAAAGATAAGGAGAGAATCTTAAAAGCTGCAAGAAAAAAGGAGAGGGATACCTACAAAGGAGTTCCCATAAGACTATCAGCTGATTTCTCAAAAGAAACCTTGCAGGCAAGAAGGGGCTGGAAAGAAGTATTCAAAGTCAGGAAAGACAAGGACCTACACCCCAGATTACTCTAACCAGCAAAGCTCTCATTTAGAATGGAAGGGCAGATAAAGTGCTTCCCAGATAAGGTCAAGTTAAAGGACTTCATCATCACCAAGCCCTTATTATGTGAAATGTTAAAGGGACTTATCTAAGAAAAAGAAGATCAAAACTATGAGCAGTAAAATAACAACAAACTCACAACTATCAATAACCAAACCTAAAAAACAAAAACAAACTAAACAAACAACTAGAACAGGAACAGAATCACAGAAATGGAGATCGCATGGAAGGTTATCAGCTGGGAGGAGGAAGGGAGAGGATGGGGGGAAAGGTACAGGGAATAAGAAGCATAAATGGCAGGAACAAAATAGACAGGGAGAGGTTAAGAATAGTACAGGAAATGGAGAAGCCAAAGAACAACCCATTGTACAACCCATGGACATGAACTAAGTGAAGTGGGTGGGGGGAATGTGGGTAGGAGAGGAGGTGCAAGGTAGAGGGGGATGCAGGGGAAAAATGAGATAATTGTAATAGCATAACCGATAAAATAAAACTTTAAAAATTGTGCTTGGATGTCTAACCAATCACAATTGAAAGGAAACAATGCACAAAGGAAAAAAAGGCTCCCAGATATAAGTGGAAAAAAAAAGAACATGGGAAGGAATAATTTCTAGTTTATAGAACTTAGCGACTATTTGGATATGGAAAACTGAGATAAAAGATATTTCATGTCTAAATTACTATAATAATAATAGTGGAAACCAATCAACAGAATAGGAAAGTCAGGAGGAGATACTCATTTTAGGAATGCCATCATAAACTCGGTTTTAGGCACGCTAAGCTTGATCTACAGAAGAAATGCACAGTGGACAGATGATCACAGAGGAGTGGAGCCAAAAACAGATGTAGCAGCAAAGAGGCACGCTATGGAAACTCAAATGAGATAACCTGAATATCCTTCGTAAGTGACAAATGTTTCAAATGAGTGAGGCAGAGGGAGCATTTCAGGCTACACCAGCATGGAGAAACATTGGGAAAACCTAACTGTAAACCAGGTAATAGACAATGAATCATAAAAGGACTGACAGGCAGCAAAAGTCCACAGAAAGACAAATAAATGGATTTAGTACAAATTAATGATAAATATAAAACTCACATTGTTTTCCTCCTAAGCATTCAACAGTTTAGGAGAGGAGAAAAAGTAGACAGTAGAGGTAGCCTCAGGCTGAGGACAGGAATGGCAGACAGAACGGAAGTCTACAGAGGCAAGAGATCACGCGGTGCAGGGGAGAACAGGACGGGATGGGAGTTGCCATCCAGACTAGGTAGCTCTGATGCAAAGATGAGAGAGCTGCCCCATAAAACAGAAAGCTGAATACCAGCTGACTGGAGACCAAACATAGGAAGACAAGCAGACACTGAACTGGCAGGGGAGATATCTAGTGTGACTGTGGTTAAAGAGCTGACTATTTCAACAAATATCTGTTGACAGTGTTGTGTGCGGAGAACATTGTGCCAGATGCTGAGGGTAAAAAAAGTAAGTCTCTGCTCTTAAAAAAATGAATTATTCAGTGCAGGGAGGGACTGGCAAACTTTCTGTAACAGGGCAAACAGTGAATATTTTAGACTTCGCAGGTCATCACGTCTCCACTGCAAACATAACTCCAGCACTGTAGTACAAAAGCACACAGAAACAACATGCAAATAAGTGAGCAAGACTATTTCCAATGAAACATTTTATTAATTCATATGATTTTCATAGGTCACAAGATATCATTCTTCTTTTGATTTTCCAATCAGCTGAAAATGTTGAAAAATATGCCTAGCTTGCAGCCGTATAGAAACAGGCGGCAGGGCACATTTGGCCCCCGGGCTGCAGCGTGCTGGCCCTGATTTGGCGGGCTGGTCTGGAAAGGAGGGAGAGAAGCACCATCCATTCACGCCACACGTACACTTCCCGGTCCTGTGCGTCCTCAGCCGCTCGCAGCAGGCTGCGAGAACGGGCCTGCGGCTCACCTGTCTCCTCTTTCCAGTCACAGTAGGAGGCTGACTTTTGTGTTTTGTGTCCTATACCTAATACGCTACAACTAACACTTTCTCCAAACCTTTTGGAAATTTTCAAATTTCACCAAGAGATATTTAGACCTAACCTTTCTATTTTTATTGTTTGAGCTTACATCTATACAACAAAAGATAAAGCAATTCTTTCACATGTGTCATTTAATGAATATGCTTTATGACACAGCAATAGTAAATAAATACTGTCTGACTGCTAGCCTTAAAGGTACAACCTAGAGATACAAATATATGACGTACTTCCTCAAATATCTCCATGTTTTTTTATATTGCTTCCTCTCATAATCTAATTTTGAGGGTTTTTAAATGAAAACAAAACTGGGAAAAAATAAAAACCTGCCGAAAGTCCACTGCTGGGGACTGTGGAAACACCAGGCATCACAACATTCCTTAGGGGCAGCGGAACCGCCCTGCTGACCACTGAGGCTGGCTGGCAGGAGGTCTTCGGTGAATGTCTGAGAGTTCCAATAATGTCTGAGACGGTCATGGAGAAGGAAGACCAGCTTGATCACGACCACTAAACACTTTGGCAGCAGCAGTCACAGAGTCCAACCCGGCGCCGTGGGGTTCAAACAGTGTCACCTGGCAGGCAGGTGGACTTGGCTGAGCCAAGGCAAAGGACAGTTCAGAGTAAGGACAGGGGTTGTTTTTTTTTTAAGAGCTTTGTACAGTTTTTTTGTTTATGTTATTTTGTGTTATCCTCGTAAAGTTATTTTTAGTTATTTTCAGCCCATTTTAAATAGCAGGTTCATTTGAGTTCTGCCACAAAACATAGTTAGCACATCACAGCTGCTGGGAGAACAAGTGTATTTCACACATGCCAGCAGCAACACTGGCCTCAAAAGCCAAAACTTTAAGGGAAGACTGTGTCGGTTCATTCCCGTTTCATCCCTGTAACACCACAGAGCATGAGAACAACGGCTGTGCAACATTTCCGTCATATTTTAAACTTCAGGCCAGTGTGGTACACAGTATGTTTTTGCTATTCAACAGTTTCAGGATCACTTTAACTAGGTGTGACCCCTGGTTACTGAAAGTAAAAATTGTGTAAATATTAGTCACATCACTTTATGAGTTCTTACCCAGTTTTTCATATAATAAATACAAACTCTGACATCAATAGGGACCTTTTATTCTGCAGTAAATAACTTGGAATGGAAAAATAAAATTAAAAATGAACAATAGCCAACCTGTGCTTTCCTCATGTATGCCAAAGGTTCTTTAAGATGCTCAGGGGGCGCTGCAGGGTGACGAGGAGAAGGAAACCTAGGGACGAAAAAAGGCAGCTAAATGTTGTACATCACCGTGATAATGAACTCATTCTCTTGGTTAGAGATTACTTAACCTCTGTAGCCCATGTTATAAGTGAAATATTGAGTAGAATACTTATTAACAGTTATATGTATTCACACAAGGTGCAACAGCCTAACAAAACTGTAATTCTTATCCTACTAGTACTGCAGTTTTAGATTAGCAATTTAATTGTTAAACTGCATAATAATCTGATTTCATAATTAAAGTAATTTTAAAATGATTTGGCTCTGTAAATGCTCATGAAATTATCATAACTTAATTTTAATACAGAAATATAACATTTAGAGAAATTTTATAAGGTTGAAAAAATCCACTGACTTACCAACATAGCAACCATTTTCATTTCCCACAATTTCCTTTTCCCTATGATTATATATTTCACATAGTTGAAACAATAATATAAATATCTACTGAAATAGCCATATTTTTATATAAAAACATTCACAAATTTAATAAAATTAAAAAATTTTAATGTCTTATGAATTTTTTATTTTCTAAGTAACTTTACATTTTATATTCAAAATGTATTATTTTTATTAAGAAGACATTTATTTATTCAACAAATTTTGGGGCCATTCTAGGGACAAAGTACATGGTGACGATTAAGACAATATCCCCTATTCTCAAATACCTGACATTCTAGTAAAGAAAGACAGTCAATAATTACACAAACAAATAAATACATGGAATAGCGTCAGACAGCAAGAAGTGCCGAGAGAACCCGAGAGCAGGGCGGTGAGAGAGCAGTGACCGGGAAGGGCAGGGAAGGCATCCGGGGGAGCTGAGATCTGAACTAAGACCCAAGTGAGAGGAAGAAGCCCGCCGCACAAAGATCTGGGGAGAATATCCCTGGCAAAGAGAAAGCAAGCATGAGACCCTGAGGTGTAAACATTTGGAATGTCTAAAAATCAGAAAAAGCCAGAATGGTTGAAATATAATGATCGAGGCACAGGGTGACTGACAGGAAATCACAAATAAGGTGATAGAAAAGCATGATAGTTCAACATTTATTGAGAGGTTCCAATCTCTTTCACAGAAAAACACAGACCTCCTATTGAAGTCAGTCATAGGACCTGTACCTACAGCAAACCAACCATGTTCCAATAATCAAGAAGCACACACTGAGTCCTCAAGAAACTCCTCGTTTGAAGTGGGACATCAGCATATGAAGTGTTAATTAATGACATACCAAGCTACTTGAACCTGTCCCAGAACCTATGTGTTAAAGGCTCAAATGTCCATACAGACATGTCTAGAGTAGACAGAAGCAACCTATCCTACCCAATTTTAAAGATAGTTTCACTTCTTATTTCTAGCTAATTGCTCTTCCCATTGAAATCCACATTCCATGTACCTAAATAAATCACCTTCTCAAAGGGAATAAATGATAATTTCTACAGACCTCAGTATTTCTTATGTGCAAGATAGTTTTAAAAATGCTGTTTCATACTGCTCAGTGTATCATTTGCAAAGGGACATGTGGTTTAGAGTTAAGTATCACTCTAAAGTCCTTCTATTTGCACAGTAATCGTTTCCAAATTAATAAAGCAGAAACTTCGGGTGGAAACTTGAGCGCACTACACAAGAGGTGAGGGCCCTCAGACAGGAAGACAGCGATGGAACTTTGCACCCTGCTCGACTCCTTCCCCTGTCCCTAAATCCCTCAGAACACCACTCAGCTTTTCCTCCCCACTGATGCCGTTTTACACAACCAGCATCTCTCATCTGCACTCATCTGTCAGACACTTCACCAAGGTCCCCAGCTTGCACACTACTTTCAGCCTACGTGCCAAACGGCCTGGCTGTCGGCCAGGAGCAATGTCTTCCTTCTTCACCTGTGATGGCAATGCCAGTGCCCAGCACAATGCCTGCAGCACACCAGATAAGCGGTGCACGGCTGAATGAATGAAACACAAATACGATCACGGCACTACACTGCTTAAAATTCCAAACTGACACCCAAATCCTATTAGGACCCAGTCTACACAGCCTCGGTATGGAGCACATTCCTGCCTACGTATCTAACATCGTCCTCTACCACGCCCTTGTGCCTGGCACCATCCAGCCATCCAACTTCCGTCCCTCCAGTGTGCCGCATCCCCACCTCTGAGTCTCTGAGCCGCTGCTCCCTTCTGCCTAGGCACCGTGTTTCTTGCTCCACCCCGGATTCCCAGCAGTGCGTGCAGGGCTGGCACACGGCAGACAGTCAACAGCTACAAAGCTAACATTCTAGAGCGACATTTTTTGGGATGACAAATAGTTCTACACACCTCAACAGATGCTGAGGGCAAGTCCACATGAACAAAAAAGTTAACTGTTGTTGTTTGATGTTCTTAATAATATTGGTATCATTAAAGAAGTTAAATTATGTTTAGAATGGTCATTCATAAAGAGAAATATCCAAAAAGCGGGGGAGGGGTGATATCCAAAGTGACAACAGTAAAAAGAATGTTGGTAAACTTCAGTTTTCTGAAATAATAATTTACGAGAATTATATCATTCCCTAATTATACTGAATAAATGAATTTTTAATATAAAATTCTTGGTACTATAAAAACTCTACTTATTCATTATTATTTCTCAGGTAAAACTATAATTTTTAAAAGTATTAATATTAAATGCCATATAAATATTAATGAGAAATATTATGAGAACTTACAGCAATACTGTACTCAGTACTTACAAAGTAAATAATAGCTAAACACAACAAACAATATTTCAACAGGGATAGGAAAACTCACACACTCAGTTCACTGTAAACAGCATTCTGAAGTTTCTTCTCCCAGCCTGTTTTTAAAAAAATACAATATAGATACATATTAGTTTCAAAAATACATATACATTATAATTAAATGTACCTCACTAAAACTATAGCATTATATTCATTTGTGGAAGAACTTTATCGACTGCCAATTGCTGTGTGAAGTGTTACTAAGGATCTGGTTCCTGTGCATTCACCGTAATATCCCCTGGCAAATGCTGAGGGGCCAAGCTGTCAACATTCCATTATTTATTAGGGAAAACTATTGCACCATTTTCTCAAGATGGAAGGAAAAGTTGCTTCTTCTACCATTAAGTAGCTCAACAAATGCTGAAATCTTTAGCTATTGTACCACACTAGGGCTATGAGGGCTGTTCCAAGGGCAGGGCAGGAAACAGCAGGGACAGGGCAAACACAGACCACAGGTAATCAGTTCACTGCAAACTCTTGAATGACAGGGGTGGATTATAAGGTACCACTAGTCACAGCGGTTATGTTGGCTGCTAAGCACTTGAACTTTTCTGGGTAAGTAAATCACTTAACATCTCAGTTTCCATGTGCAAAGGTTAGAAAGGGGATCTCTCTTAGCTCTAAAAAAAAGTAAGATTTTCTTTTGTTCATTGAAAGGGTAGAAAGAGTAGGGAAAAGAAGTATAAAAAGCAAAAGCCACAAAAAAATAAAAGACAAGATGCTTAGTAACTAGGGATATTTTTTCATATATTCAGGATGTATTCTGATCTGGAAGATAAATAGTACTTAAAACTAATTAATGTAAAGTAGCCATTCCCCCAGTGCCCCTAAATTTTTATAGCATTTTATCGAAATGTCTGAAAGTTCTAATTCTTACCAAATAGAAACCTATCCAGCCACAGTTTCACAATTTTGAATAAGTAATTAGACGGCTGGGGATAAAATACTCCCTTCAAATAGAATTATTTCCTTATTTTTGCCTTACAGAATTAAAGAAAAAAAAGCAACTTACAAACCTGATGTTTTAAAGAATCTCTTAATATCTTCCTTTAGTGATTCAAGTTTAATCTCAGGTCTCTGAAGACTGGCCTAATTTAAGAAGAAGAAAAAGACAGAGGTCAAAAGTAATTCATTTGGGTTGATATTTAATGCTAATAGAAATTTTTAAAGGAGTGTCCAAATGTACATATTTAAAAACTATCTAAAAACTCCCCTTTGAGGTCCGAGCACCCTAGGATTAACTGGGCAAGCTCACAAGAGAGATTTTTTTCACCTACTCTTAAATAGAGGATCTGTGATAGTACATAGTACACTATAGTAAAAATTCAAAGCCTTGCAGCTTATGAATATTTAACATCACTGAGGACTTTCATCTTTACGCATATTTAACATCTATTTTTCTAGTAGAAAAAATACTGAGATTTCATAAGCTCATTCTTTTAATATTATACCCAAAGTATACAGCATCTACATACACCTAATGACCAAAAAACCAGTTGCATCCATAAAATGGATTTTTGAACAGCATCTTCCTCTTTGGATGGCTGCTCAGCGCGTACCTGCACATGTTGTGCATATTTACGGAAAATACATAAAACTAGTATTTCCCAAATGCTTATTAGTGTCTCTTTCACCTTCACATGCAAGCTTTTTATTCTACAGATTTTCATACTGTAATTCTTACCAAAAATAGTAATTCTCCAATTTGTAATGGCTTCAATTACTTTCAGGTGATCTTTCATCACTTACCCTATCAAATTCTAGACATCTATCTCTTAAGAAGGCATTTCTATTAGAGTATCTCATAAGCATTTCAAACCTACAAAATAAAAACACTGGTCTTACGTTCCACTGATTATGTTGCTCCTTCTCTTCTCTTTTTTAACCCTCAACCATGCAATTCTACCCACCAGATCTTCCACACCATAAACTCCAGTATTCTCAGTTCCACTCTAACTCTTCCACCATTCAACCCATTTCTGGGAAGACGGCATTAGTAGCAGTCAGCTGCTTTTTTTTAAATCTCCCTAATTTCCACATAAAAACAGGCCAAGCAAGTAGACAGCAAGACCAAAATACCATGAAAAACATACACAACATTTGGTGATAAGCTATCCCCCACAAACCTAAAATACAAGCAGCTGGGACAAACCGACAGGCACAAGATCCACAGTGGATGGTACTAGCATCTGTGAAGGGAAGCAGAGCGAAGCAGTGAGGTATCTGATATACGCAAAACAGAAGAACTCCAAAACAGCCAACAAGTGTTTGCCAGAACATAGGAAAAGCCAATTTTAGAACAGGGACTGAAAGTGAGAGGGCTTTTGCCTAATCCAGGGCAGCAGATGAGGTCGGAAGAGGCCAGAGCAGTCCAGCACCTATGAATTCTTGAAAATGAGCAACCAGGCACCCTTTCCAGACTAGGCCACGTTAAGGAGGAAATACAGACAAAGTAATAAAAATGGATGATGATGGGAAACCAACTTATCGCCCTGAAAACTGGTAAATAAGTCATTCATCTTGCCTTTCCTATGGAAACTGTACCACGGGGTAGAAAAGAAGAAATGTCTTCTTTATTAAAGTATTCTAGCTAATCACTAAAACAGATGTGCTATAATTAGAATATCACTATTTTGCAACCCCTAACAAATTACTAAGTCTAGGCATTAAGCACAAACAGCAATTGACATTGCAAAAGACAAGCAGGCGTCATTCGCTTCTCGATGAAAGAACACGGGCACCCGACACGCAAGTGCTCTGCTGGGACACCGAGTCTGCTGTCAGCCCTCGAGTTACACGGGACAGCGGAACACGTTCAACTGCCCTGAGAGTGCGCAATCAGAAAAATCCAGGATGTGGACATTATAAAGGGCAAACTACCCAGTTCTTCAGGGAATAGATTATAAGGAAAAAGAAAGGAAGGAGAGGAAACCAGTCGATTTTTAAAATTTTTATATGTTTTGTTTAATCTTTATTGTATTTTTCCCATTACCATTTATGCCCTTTATAACCCCCTATCCCCAGCAATCAGCACACTGTCATCCATGTCCCTGAAAACCTGTAGATTTTAAAAGATTTTAAAGGTATATCAAAACCTTTTTTAATTGGCAATACTAAGCTAGAGTGTCCAGGGATATACATTTGGTTAATAAAACTATCAAGAAATACAGGAAAGTGGTTACCAAAATCAGGCTCTGGGGGAGGAAGGGGCCTGTGATTGGGATGGGGCAAATGAAGGGGTTCCTGGCGTGGCTGGCAAAGTTTCGTTTTTTTTACCAAGGTAAATTTTACAAGGTTGTTTATCTAATAATAATTCGCTACATTACAGATTTGTTTTGTGTGTTTTCATTTGTGTTTTATTTTATGATAAAAAGTGTAAAAGAGAAAAAGAAAAATATGTCCCCCAATCTATTCCTTCTCCCCATTCTCAAGTCCCACACCTAAGTCCAAGCCCTCACCACTTCTCGCTTGGATCACGGCAACGGCCTCTGCACTGGACCTCCGGCCACCTCACTGAAATCGCAGCTGCCAAGCACTCCCATTCTCACCCCCCCCCCCCGCCCTTACTCTACTGGTTCTTCCTACTTAGCGCTTATTCCCTCCTAACATGCTACAGGAATAATGTATTTGCTGTGTTTATCGGTCTATCTCGCTGCTCTAGAAGCGGGAAGCCCCACTGGGGCAGATATCCTTGTCTATCTGTTCACTGTTGTATCCTAAGTGCCTAGAATAGTTACTTTCACAAGCAGGTGCTCAACAAAAGCTTATTAAAGAAATGCACCCATTTCTACTTTTTCAGTCCATCCTCCAGTGGCTCTTCCCAAACCACACGTCTTTCCTGGCTTCGGGTCTCCACAGCATGTAGAAGCAGCCTAGACTTTTCAGCAGGGCGGGCACATCCGGCCCTTCGCCGTGTGTCCCAGCTTCTCTCTCTAGTTGCATCAGGTGTTCCTCCACCAAGCTGACGACACCCTCTCTCGTCTCACACCTCCTCCCTACGCCCACCCTACTCTTTAGTCACAGTGAACTCTATTCCCTGATTATTCCCCAACTGTCAAGTATGTTGAGGGTCCAGGCTTTTGTTCATGTTGTTTCCTCAGATGTGAATGCTCCCTCACCACCTTCGCAAGCACCTGCTGCTGGCTTCCGAGTCATCCTTCAAATGTCACCTGCTTTCCCTACCCCCGCCCCCCATGCAAAGATGGCACTCTACTCCTCTGTAGCACTCACCAGGTTAGACTGTCATCTTCACCTTGCCTATTTATCTTTCTGACTGTTAAATTAAAAGGCAAAGACCACGTTTTCTTCATTTCTTGGCCTGAATTGTTGCTTGACAAAATTATATTGTCACACGGTATATCCTTTTTAACAGATTTCCTCCCAAATAAACAAGGACTCTGTAAAAATTACTTGTAACTAGAGAGACTGTTTTCTAGTCTATTTTTCCTAGGATTTTAAAAACTGCAACATCTTATTTATTATTCAAAAGCACCATGGCAAAAGGAAGCGGGTTTTCTTTCACTAATCCTGTATTTGGAAATGACTCAGATTTTAGCATAATTTAAAGAACTTTAAGAGAGAAATCGGTTATTACTTCTAAACATTTTCAATCCTTCCAAGTTGCTACGCCTCCTAGATATACTTTTCAAAAATTTTTAAAAGATTTTATTTATTTATTTTTAGAGCAAGGGGAAGGGAGGGAGAAAGAGAGGGAGAGAAACGATGATCAGCTGCCTCTCGTGCACCCCACCCAAGGACCAAATCCCACCCAGGATTGTGCCCCGACCTGGAATCGAACTGGCCACACTTCACTCTGCAGTACGACACCCAACACACTGAGCCACGCCAGTCAGGGCTCCATATACTTTATTATATCAAAGGCAAACCACATGAACTAATCATCTCAACTAATTATAAAAATCTTGAGAAACTTGAAAATAGGAACAGGACAGTGAGAGGAGGACAACATGGTAGGCAGAGCAGTTCTCAAACTGCTTCAGCAGCTCAACACTGTTTTCAAACAGAATCGGGGCCCTCCTAGGAAGCCCAGCATACAAAACACACAGAAAGTGAGATTTCTAGACAATGACAACAGCGAGTCTTTTCTCATCAAGTAAGGTACGATTAACATTAAAAAGACACAGCTTTATTCTTATATAGCCTCGATATACAATTTTTTTGTATTTTGTTTGGATTGCTGAATATAAAGAAAAATCCTGATTCCCAGAGATAAGTGTTTGCACGTTTAATAGCCTCCCTGGCAGTCTCAGTGCACCCCACAGTTGAAGTATTGTGGGAAATCGAAAGAGAGTGGTTGAAAATTTTTATTTTGAAAACAAGTCACAAAAATTATTTATGATATATACAAAAATCAGACAAAGAGTTTCTGATAGTTGTAACCACTAAAACTGTGCATTCCATGGCATTCCTAGAACACGACACATTACCGGCTCACTGGTCCCACGCCGCAGCGGCACACCACAATGAGGGGTCGTGAGGGCAGCCGTGCCTGCGCTCTGCGTGGCCTGCGCCCAGCACCACATGCGCGCTGCAGCAGTACACTCCCTCGTACGGTGTGCCACGAAGGGTCAGGCACAAGCTCAAATACTTTGAAAGGCCAGTGCAGAATTACATCCTGTCTCATTGATGACACATTTGTAAGTGTGTCATCACTTACAAATATAAAGAAATATGGAAGAAGAGTGTTCCCCACCCCCCGGGGTCTACCCAGAAACAAGTTAATTTGGAAGCACCTCAGTGGATTATGAAGAATTTGATATAACAATGCATTTGAAAGAGTGTTGCTTCTTATCAAGTATCTTTAAATGAATAGAACATTTTCAGACTCCTTGATGTAACAGAGTAGAGTTTATAAACCACTTTGGACTAAGGGAGAGTGGGATTTGTAGTGGAAGACCTGGAACCATCTCTCAGTCTTATGTATTATGTCTTAGTCCAGTCATGTAAACTCGCTGTATCTCAGTTTTCTTTTTTTATCTTATAGGGAAACTCACAACTGAACTAGGTTATTTTGAGACTCAAATAGAAAATGTTTCTACATTATTTTTAGGCTGCGAAATCCAGTGTAA